GTTAAAATCACATGTGCAAACATGATTCAATTATCTGTTTGAACATTTTTAGTCTATTTTTAAGAGTCTAGGCTACCAAGTTATTAAGTTCAATGATTCAATGGAATCAGATATCAGCTGATGCTGCAATACCGCCCTCTGTCAAAGTACTAAATTGAAATGTGTTACCATACGGAGGCATATTCATGATAAAAATAACATCTTGGGATATTTTAAGTGCACACAGTCATAACTGAGCCTTACAGATTCACTATAGGTACTATGTCAGCCTAACAATGTCAACTTTTGATTCCAAACATTACAAAATATATGCATATTTGTTCATGTCAGCTATGTAACCATGTTAGGATCAGTTGTAGAAAGTTAAATTCAAATAATCTATTTGAATATTACTTATGTAATCTTTAAAGTGTCAGATAACAAATATTATTAGTCATTAATAATGCATAAAGCAAAATGGATCATGAGAATTCCCATAATATCATCTGGGCCTGAATATGGCACTACATCAATCAACATCTTAAAGAAACTGAACAATGAAATGGAATGCATTCTGTGTTCAACTTACATCATTTTGCTGTTTTCTTTCATGCAATGGTAAATATACCTGGGTAAAGTATATTTTACCCCTCTGACCTGTATTTTATTCTCTGACAGCTTAATATTATTTTGTAGAGAACTTGAACAGGTTCTAGTATAAAGTCTTCATCTCTGTCCTCTCACTAAATACCCTATAACTATGGTTATCAATAATTACTGATAGCTATACAAGCAGATATGTGTTACTCAGGAAGTCACCCCATCATAAACACATAAATTAACTGTTTGGACCCCAAATAAATAGTTTCAATAACCTATATGTACAAAGCAAATACAATTTTGTCTTCATGTAGTTTAAATGAGGGTCTCATTTTGACTAATAAAGATATTTTCTCTGATCAAATTTGACAAATATCCATCATTTGAGCTTGTATATGGTGTAGGAGTATATATATGCTAATATCATTTAATATCATTCCAAAAAATATTATATATGTGTATACTTGTTGGAAAATTTTTATTTTATAATTGTTTTTTTTAATTTCATTTAAATTTTTAAAATTAAGATTATTTTTTATTTTTAATTTCATTTTTATATTTTTAACGTCAGTATACATAACATATTAAAATTTCATGTGTATGTCATTAAAAATAAAAATTATAAATCAGTTTCAAGTTTTTATTGACAGGCCTTAGAACACAATTAATTTCACTATATTGTCTCTACATTTGTTTCTCAATACTGAACTTTCCACTGTGTGACAATCAATACAAATCATATGTTAATCTAAAATACCTTCAAAGATGACTTTACGATTTAGTTCTTGTCAAGGGTTGACCTGCATGTTTTTGAGAGGCTGAATTGTAAACAAAACACCAGGCAACGGAACACAGATTTCACTTCCGGATCATCACCATGACCTTATTACTCAATGTGCACTGTCGCCGAAATACACACAGACAACCACACCATAAGCTCACATTTTAAAGAAATAACAATTGCCTTTAAATCTTTACCAAGAATGCCAAATTCTAACTCTAGTATCACCACCAATTTCAGACAGGAAAAAGAGATCTAAAAATAGACTGGGACTACATTCGTGGGTACTGAACCCGATTTTATTAATTGTGTACTGATTCAATATTTAAATGGTATACACGTTCAAAGAATCGCTTATTGTATTTTTCAGGCTGTCATGCAAATCAAGCAATTGACCTTGTATTTATCGTGGACAGTTCATCAAGTCTCACTTACGTAGATTTCAAAAAAACTCGGGAGTTTTTGAAGGAAGTCGTTCAAGGATTCGACATTTCCCCCTTTCAAACTCATGTGGGTATGGTCCTTTATTCGACTCAGGTCAGTGTAGAGTTTCAGCTGAATCAGTACTACGACAAGCAAGTTGTAATAAACGCAATTGATCACATGACATACCGCCCAGGTTCAACAGAAACTGCTAAAGCCCTCCAAGTCGCCGTGGAACAGGTATTTGATACTAGATATGGGTCAAGGCCGAACGTAGTCCAGGTGTTGCTCGTAATAACAGATGGGTACTCAGATGACCTATTGGCACGCAATACTACGCCGCAATGGCGCACAGTGGGAGAATAAATGTGTTCTCGTTGGGAGTAGGGTCAAGAACGAATGTCTCGGAATTAAATGCAATTGCTTCTAATCCCACTTGTACACACCTCTATAAAGTAGCCGGATATGACGAAATCAGATTTTTGTCAAATGAAATAAAGAGAGCTACCTGCATTGGTAAGTTGTTTTTTGTTTGTTTTTTTTTTTTTTTGACAAAAAAGAATGTTTTTGTTTCGCTCAGTTAATTATTCCCGTAATTGGATGACAAAAAAGCTGTACAGAAGCCCGGTCGCAGAACACTTCTCCTTCCCTGGCCACACTTTCAGTCATATAATACTTATCGCTATTGCTAACAACCACAGCTGGAGTTCCGAAACCAGGAAGGAAAAGGAATCATACTGGATACGCCGCCTTAGAACATTGAAACCAAGCGGTCTAAACCAAGAAGACTAGAAAATGAAAACTATGCACTAGTAAAATTTAACATTTTCTAAATCTTCTTATTATCCTTCAATTTTTACTATAAGAATAACCGGTATAGAATCAAATATCCGGGATATAATCTGCGTTACATATGTACAAAAAGTAAAAATAGATGTCGCTTTGGCTTGTAGACTTTTAGGGAATTATACAACGTTTTCAGTTTCCGCATCTAGTCTATACAAGCTGGTTGTATTTATAGTTTTAGCACATGTGAAGACAGCCATGTAGAAGTTTACAAACACAACGTTTTTGTGTTTATTTGTTTATCGTATATATGTTTTGTATTTGCCTTTGAAAAAGACTCATTAAGAGTCGAAAGCGCTTAGGCTAGTTAGTTACTAGTTTCGTACAGTTCGTCGTCAGTTTATAGCATATATATATATATATATATATATATATATATATATATATATATATATATATATATATATATATATATATATATATAAAAATTGGTTTCTATGTATGTATATATAAATGTATGTATTTCATTTAATTGATGTAATTATATAAAAATAGCATGCACGTTATAATACTATGCATTGTAAATGCAGAATGAATATATAATACTTTCTTTTATGTATATGACAATTATGAGACAGTATACTCAGACGTGTATGTTTGACTTTTTATTTTTTATTTTTTCAAAGAAACGTTCCGTTGACTGGGAGAAATGGATAAAACAAATAACTAATGATTCTAATTGTTTCTTTTATGTTACTGATGTATTTCAGTCTGAAAATTTGCTCATTTTCAGCACCGTTATACATCAACAGCACATATAGTTGTTCGATAGAGAAATGTCCACCATTGGCCTACATCACCCCTCCAGGCGGGGTAACTCTTATGGTAAGAATTCATTCCTCAAATCATTTATCATATGTTATTTTCGACTTATTTCATAACAAAATTAATATATATATATATATATATATATATATATATATATATATATATATATATATATATATATATATATAATGTCTGAAATCACATCACGATGCCAAAAGCCTCGCCTGTAATTTCCTTGCATTCGAAGCTTCTTAAACACATTTCACGGTATTATTATGTCGTTCTTGTTTCAATCAAGAAAAACTGTTGACTTTCTTCGCATGATTTAAATATTCCATTTGTATTTGATAAATATGAATCTTATGAATCTCGTTAAATAATATTAAGTAAAATGTTGGCCACAGCTTGTAAAATGTCAACACACTCACACACACACACACACACACACACACACAGAGATATATATATATATATATATATATATATATATATATATATATATATATATATATATATATATATATATGTATGTATGTATGTATGTATGTATGTATGTATGTATGTATGTATGTATGTATGTCCATGTGTGTATATGTATGTATGTCATGTCATGCGAAGGTGTCTGCTACGCGCGAGATTATATAACACCGATTCAGTGCTATCATTTATTGGTGATGCAAGCTTAGTCGTGACAGTATATGGGTTGGTTCGTGCAGACAAGTCGATGGGTGCCATTTACTCGCGGACCTGGGTTCGAAACTCGGTAGAGTACGAATTTAATTTCTCAAACCTGTATGATAGTATTGTTTGTATTAAACTATTATTTCTGCCAACTATTATCAAGATACTGCTACAGAATCCAGGGATAGCACAGTCTGTTCTGTCTGATATATATTAATAATTATTTGTAATACAAAAATCCTATATACCTTGATTTCTGTCATAGGAATCTGGAACGACTGTATATATATATATATATATATATATATATATATATATATATATATATATAAGAATTAATTACTAGGTCGTCATGCGAGTATGTCTGCTACGCACGAGCTTATATAACACCGATTCAGTGCCATCATTTATTGGTGATGCGTGCTTAGTCGTGTTGGTATATGGGTTGGTGCGTGCAGGCAATGCGATGGGTGCCGTTTACTCGCGAAACTAGGTTCGAAACTCGGTAGACTACGAATTTAATTTCTTAAACCTGTATGATAGTACTGTTTGTATTAAACTATATATATATATTAAACTATATATATATATATATATATATATATATATATATATATATATATATATATATATATATATATATATATATATATATATATATATATATATATATGCGTGTGGTGTATGTGTGTGATTTAGAGTTTTAAAATAGCTTTTAACAATTTTTCAGTCATATCGCTACGATATCTGCAATGTGATAGTTTATAGTTATGTCTAGGGCATCATGAAGCCACAGACATGTAGCATGATGTCCCACCCAGTCACATTATCCTGACACCAGACTGAACAGTCCTGACACTAACCTCTTAATGCTGAGCGCCAATCAATTCAGCTGTTAGTATCGTTTTAGAAAGTCTTTGGTATAACTCGGCCGGGGATCAAACCCGCGACCTTCCGCACCCGAATCGGACGTTCTAACCACTAAGCTACTGGAAAACACACACACACACATATATATATATATATATATATATATATATATATATATATATATATATATATATATATATATATATATATATATATATAACCAGTTCTGCAACAAACACATACCACTATGATGGTACGTTCATTGCGTCTAAAACTGGTTTTACATGAAACACACTTTATTTGTTCATTTATAGTCAGTGCCGATCAAGATATGCCAAATGGTGCGTCAGCATTCCACGCAAGGCTCTGATATTTCCATGTTATATATATCGTAAGAAATTGTTAATTCAACTGGTTATGCCACGGTGTGATTTTGCCATGAATATATGCCAAGGTTTAATTATAGCAGTATATGTATCCAACATAATTGTACGAGCAGGAAAAGGAATCTTGTAGTTTTGTAGGCGTAGTTTCTTTTGGGCTTGGGTTGAGGCTCTGTGTATTAGTTTTCCTCAAAAGACAATTTACCGTATGTAAGTGGTTGTTTTACAACAACAACAGCAACAACTGTTGGATATAAAATATCTTTGCAGTAGGCCTAATTCTTTTTTTTTGTAGCTTTCTTAGAAAAAAAAGAAAATAATATTGTATAATTATATCCTGGAATTTCAGACGATTATTACTTGCGGAGGAATGAATGTGTACACTGCTTTTAATAACTCCTATCCGGGAGAGGCACTTTATGAAGTCCAACAGCACACATCTGGCGGTGATACTACTGTTTTTTTCATCAACACTACCACTACAAAGACTCTTTACATGACCATGAAAGATTCCCGGCTGATATTCGCTCGAAACGGAAGTTCTGGATGCATAGCAACAATAACTCCGTTACCAGGCTACCATATGGGCCACAGTAAGTTTACATGTCTCAAGTAGCCAATGAGCATTATCTTCATAGGACTTTGGAACAAATTGTGAGAGATATACTTGCATGTTTCCCCTTTGCGTGATCTGAATGAGGCAACAGTCGCGGAAACATTGTGGCGCGGAAACATTGTTTATGTTTGTCCGTTCGTTCTATATCTGTTTCAGTAGGAATACACAAAGACCTTTTCTAGCAGAGTCGTAAAATATTTCTAACGTTGTGGTATTTATATGATGGTGACATTCACACGTGTAAAAGTTGTATCTCAATTTTCTGACTGATGGAGTTACTTTACTGAGTTTTATTAAATTTCCTCATGTGACTGTTATAGATCATCTTTAATTCGTAAATTAACGTAAAGCTCTAATCACCAAGTAGGTTGTATATACGTAAAGGAAATATTTACATTAATGAATACAAAGAAAGCAAATTCCTATTTTAATTTTTTTATGAATTGCCTTTAATATTATAATTGACATTACTTGTGCTGTACTTAAAGTAATTTTTGGCGTGGAAATGGATTTATTTTTATAATCAGTGACCAATAAGAAATTAACTGTGTTCCGGATATTAATAGACATTTTCTCCCTTTTCTTTTAGCTATGAAATGTTATGAAGATGGCAAGGAGATTATCTGCCCCTCGTACAATGGTGAGTCAATGGTATCAGAATGACGCTGGTGCATCAAATACAATCGGAGTATTGGATCCTTGCAACCGTGGCTCGCTTATAATCGTGACCAAAAATATTCATGTTAAATTCCCACTCTCAGATAAAAATATGTTGTTTCCATATGCACTGCGCTTTACTCTAATGATACGGCAATATATAACTTTTAGCGTGCTGCTGTATCGTAAAACAACGTACCAAGTGAATCATTATTAGCAACTAGCTTCTGTAAATGAAGATGTTTTGCCACAGTTGATTCTATATCGATACCGACAGTGCAGTAGTCAGTGCACAGCTCTCAGCTCTGATTTTTCTTTTGTTGGTGGGAAATATTCATTAGGCTCAAAATTAAAAACAGTTAAGTCGATGATGTTCACTGAGATGTTAATCTCAATTATAATAATGGTAAATAACTTGAAATAACACGATTTTATAGTTGACAACTCTTCGGTTGTTTATTTACATGAAAAGATATACAGCCGCATCATTTTGTTTTCGGTCAAATGAAAGGTTGATCGAATAAGTATGAGTACTTTCAATTCAGTTTCATTTTATGTACGTACATTATTTTGTACGGCTATCGATTTTTCCGTTCAGAACAAATCATGTCATTGATATCTCACATTTTCTTTATTTTCTTCAGCGTTCAGTCTTATATCTAAAACTTAATAAACTTGCGTATTTCTTTGTCTCTAAAATACATAACAATATTTTATCTGTCATCCAAATTTAAGCTTGAAGACATTTACATGAACGGTTGGGACAATATTTGTACGACTTGCACGCAGAAGAAAGCAAAGTTCTAAAGATCTTTAACGATTAAATCCTTGATCTGAGTGTAGTTCTGATGAGAAAAATACATTTTACGGGGAACTGCATTGCCCGATTTTGTAAACAGGCTTTTTATGCTAAAAACGTGCAAGACAAAGCGTTACATGCCATCCCTGGCAATAAATTCTGTTCTCTACTTGATACCCAGAAATTCTTCTCACCCTTTTAAAGACATAACCGGGCTTTATACCTAAAAGACGAAAGTAAAGTATATGGTACCTGTGCAAAATTGACGAATTCTTTCACAAATCTCTGCATTAAAATTCTGAGAATTCTGATTCACATTTGAAAGCAAAACAAAGGAAGTATGACGTTCGCCATAATTCGGCAAGCTTTCAATCATTTAATGTCCAAAGAGCTAATATGGCGAACTTGTATTTATGATAATGTTTATCCATCATTGATGATGTACACCACACGCCCCTGTTGATAATCTAGACCGAAATTTGTTTGGTACTTTCATTGGCAATACTTTTTTCAATGCCTCACTATTTATTATTATTATTATTATTATTATTATTATTATTATTATTATTATTATTATTATTATTGATGTTATTATTATTATTATTATTATTATTATTATTATTATTATTATTATTATTATTATTATTATTATTATTAATGTAAAACCTGCAATCTATATATATATATATATATATATATATATATATATATATATATATATATATATATATATATATTCTTTTAAGAAAATATGATGCCAGTGATTTAGATATTTACATAGTTTTTTGTTACGTTAAAAGATTACATATTGTAAAATGCAAGCAAACAAAAAACTTTAAAAGAAACACACCAAGTGCTGTCCAACGTATCAGCTTGTACGTATCATCTCGTCATTATCTTGATGTCTGCTAATAGCAACTCTTTTCTATGAAATTAAAATATTTAATGTCGTAGCTAAACAACAAATGCAATTTATTTATATAAAAATAGGTTGTTGGTATTAACTAATATAGAATAAAGAAAAGGGGTTATTGTATTTTACGTGAAGCAATTTTTTTTATCCAAGAATATCAATGAAAACACTGATACGCCGTTGACGTATATTTTTATTGATTACTTCGTCCTCCGTTATTTATCATTCTATGTCGTTTGATCATCAGCGTTGTATTCTTTTTTATTAATCCTCTTTTATTTATAGAGAGATGGAACTTCCCCAACCCATGCACAGCAGATAACATACTTGCAGGTTACACGAAATTTCCGCATCCGTACGACAAGAATAAGTTCCTCATGTGCGACTTGTCGGGGAAGTTGTATATCGTGATCTGCCCTGCAGGGGAGGTAAATAAAAGCTTCGAGAGACCGTTATCGTATTTTGAAACCTTTACTGAATTTAGAAAATCAACTGATAAATGTTTTAATCAAAAGAAAGTAAACAATATATCAATAAAATAATAAAACTAAAATAAAAAGTCAAGTTGGTTGTGTCAAACGGATAAGTTCACATCTCATATAATACCCGAATGTTCCGTCAGGTCAATTCGTTATATTTTCTTCAAATTAATTTGATTCATAAATATTCAAGGAACATAAAAACATTCATACTTTATCATATTCATGTCAGTAGGCATATTATTTTTGCATCAAATTATTGAATATGTTGCTTTCATATCTTTCATTTTTTGCTCACAAAAAAATCTTAATGATTCGTTTATTTATTAATTAATCCATCTATGATCATTTGAAGATCTAATGTCATTTTTTATAAAAATTCAGATTAAATGTAATAAACATTAATTAAAAAGCATGTCAAAGTGAATAAATAATGGAATCTAAATAATCTCAGCTTTCACCCTTATTTTGTATGTGTAGTTGTGGACTAGTTCGAAAGATATATCAAAATGTAGTTGCTAGTACATGTCAAAATAAACAACTGTTATGCCATACAAGCGAGACAACTGCAGTGCATAATGCATCCCAGGAAGAGAACGTCTGACAACTGCAGGTCAAAGTAAGGGAAAACACTTTAAACGGCTACATGGTTTTATTTATAAAACGTAATCGGATTTCACAAGATAAAACTGATATGGTGCTGTTACAGTAACGGTGGAGTCTGTGTTATACTTGCTTAATGATTTAGGTCGAGAGATTTCAATACTATTGACAGAAACGCCATGTTTATTCATCAAATTTACAAATAACATTTTGCCGTTTTAAAGGTGTTCCTGTCTGACTGTAATCAGTGTGTTGGGAATGGGTCTATTGTCAGTGCTGACTGCACTAAACAGTCTTCCACTAATCCGTGCACAGAAGAGAATATACTCCTAAGTAAGAATATTTACATGAATATAAACATTTATAAATGCTCGATACAACAGGAAATAAAAATGTCGTTTTCAATTATTTATCAACATATTTATTAAAGTAGCAATGAGTAACAAGAAAAGAGTGAAGACACCAAGCTTTGTAAAATTTAACAAATAATTTATTTTCCGAGTAAAACAAGGTAAAAATGAGAAAAAGAACTTACGGTTTTACAAATTCAATCCAAAATTGATCAATGAATTTAAAGAAATGTAAATCCTAGTATTAAAAAGTTGTAAGTGAATCTGAGTTCGAGTTCGAGTTCGAGTTCCGATGAAATCTAAAATGGAGGGCGGTGACGTCTTTCGTA